GCACTGGGAGAAGGGGGCGGGGCCAGCGCACTGGGAGAAGGGGGCGGAGCACGGCCTCTCCTGCTCTGGTAGAACCTGGAATTCAGTCTGTGAGGCAGGAAACCAGCTGGCATGACTCTGGCTTTGCTGAGAGTCCCTGTTTCCCTTTTCACCCAATAAATTCCATATTTCTTGCCCTTCACGGTGTCTGCAAGCCTCATCTCTCCTGGCCGTGTGACAAGAGCCTGGCTTCCATCTGCAGGAAGAGGGAAGCCCTGCCATTCCACTGCCCTGTTTGGAAGCTGACTTTCTGCATTTTTTATTTTTATTTTCCCACTGATAACTGGTCGTGTTGCTTTGATCTCCCTCTGTTTCTTAGTGAATAGTGTAGACATGAAAACACCCATGGTGGATACGTCGGAGTTGAAAGTTAATCCCTCAGCCTCTTCAGGTGTCCAAGCCCTTACGATGCTTGACTGTATTCACTCCTTTCCAGGTTTGTATCATTTAAATATCCCACAAGACAGAGATGGAGTCTAGGCTGGAGTGCAGTGGTGTGATCTCGGCCTTCTGGGTTCAAGTGATTCTCCCACCTCAGCCTCCCTAGGAGCTGGCATTACAGGCATGCACCACCACCACGCCTGGCTAATTTCTCTGTATTTTTAGTAGAGGTGTTTTCACCATGTTGGCCAGGTTGGTCCTGAACTCCTGACCTCAGGTGATCCACCCACCTCGGCCTCCCAAAGTGCTGGGATTACAGGTGTGAGCCACCGAGTCCAGCCTTTTTTATTTTTGAGACAGTATCGCTCTGTTGCCAGGCTGACGCACAGTGGTACAATCTTGGCTCACTGCCACCTCTGCCTCCTGGGTTCAAGTGATTCTTCTGCCTCAGCCTCCTGAGTAGCTGGGACTGCAGGCACGCACCACCATGCTTGGCTAGTTTTTGTATTTTTAGTAGCGATGGGGTTTCACTATGTTGGCCAGGGTAGTCTCGAACTCCTGACCTCAAGTGAACCTCCTGCCTCAGCCTCCCAAAGAGCTGGGATTACCGTTGTAAGCCACCATGCCTGGCCAAAGGTCACTCTTTAAAAGACATTCTTCGCCAGAGCCGCATGGTGAAACCCTGCCTCTACAAAAATTAGCTACGTGTGGTGGTGTGTACTTGTCACCCCAGCTACTTCGGGGACAGAGGCGGGAGGATCGCCTGAGCCTGGGAGGTCAACGCTAGAATAAGCTGTGATTGTACCACTGCACTGCAGCCTGGGTGACAGAGGGAGACCCTATTTCAAAAAGCAAGAGGGTGGGTTAGTGGCTCATGCCTGTAATCCTAGCACTTTGGGAGGCTGAGGCAGGTGAATCACTTGAGGTCAGGAGTTTGAGACCAGCCTGACTAACATGGTGAAACCCCATCTCCACTAAAAATACAAAATTTACCCGGGCATGGTGGTGGGCACCTCTAATCCTAGCTACTTGGGAGGCCGAGGCAGGAGAATCACTGGAACCTGCGGTGTGGAGGTTGCAGTGAGCCAAGATCATACAAATATGTTCCAGCCTGGGTTACAGAGTGAGACTCCATCTCAAAAACAAAAACAAACAAAACACAAAATACCCCACCCCAATAAACTGGGGACCATGGGCATGGAGGGTGTAAAATCAGTCGAGTGGGACACAATCGATCCTTTTTCAAATAAAATAGAAAATATCAGAGTTCATCACATGAAACAGGAGAGCTTGCTCTGTGAAAGCCGTCTTCCGTCGCCCACAGATACACTGATACAGTGCACACCTTTCCGGATGCATGTGCTCTGACTGCATGTAACATGCACTGCTTACTGAGGTCAGATTTAAAAAAACATTTTAAGATTCAAACATACAACGCTACAAGTCAGCATCCCTAGCAACAGTCTAACTTCTCCGTGGCTTGGTGTTATGATGTCTGGCTTAGCCATCATCAGGCCACGGGACCTGAGCAGTGTGGCTGCAGGGCCGGCAGAGTGACCCTCGGACCACGGGCCCTGCTGGCGCTGCCCCTTCAGGTTGGACCCGTGCTCCCATCATTGCTTGGCCGGGCAGTCAGTTCTCTGGGGCCCGAGCCTTGACCACAGCCATCCTGGGTCGTTGGGGGTCTTCAGTGCCTGATGCCTCCACCTCTGCTCCTGTCCTCCCTGCTCTCAGGAGCCACCCCGTCTGGCCCATCCTCTCAGAAGCCACAGAGTCTCCAAGCAGAGAACCCTGAGGGCATAGTGTAGATTCTGCTTTTCGGAGGGGACCACCCACCAGAGAGGCGACCCATTCATATGCAGGTCTGCTGCCTTTATCTGTCTTCATCAAGGGCTCTGTCCCTACCTCCCAGACCTCCCTCTCTTCCTTCTGCCCAGCACCTGGGGGTGGGAGGGCAGTCACCCCTGCCCCATTTCCTGTGTCTTCTGATTCTCCCTGAAGAAGAAATTTGGATGTGGGTGTGATGGGGATGGGCAGGGGCACTGACTGGGAGGGACAGGGTAGCTCTGGGAGCAGCCAGGACAGAGGTCTGGGCCTTCTCAGGGAGCCCCCGTGTCATCCCACCCTGTTACAGGGGCCCCTGATCCCTGTACAGAAAACAAGGGGTGCCTGGCCCTGGGTCTCAGTGTCAGGGCCTGCTGCCCCACTTGGCCCCTCCTGGGCTCTGTCACACAGTGGGCTGCCTGTGGGGGCTCAGCTGGAGACCCTCATCCTGAGATGGAGGGGCCTGGCCCTGGGCATGAACTGAGTCTCACAGGGCTGCTGCTTCTTTCTGCTTCCCACACCCTGATGCACCAGGAATCTGAAACTGAAACTCAGGGCCTTGCTCTCTAATGAGTCAGAAATTGTTTTTGTTTTTTTTGGAGATGGGAGTTTTACTCTTGTTGCTCAGGCTGGAGTTCAATGGTGCCATCTCGGTTCACTGCAACCTCCGCCTCCCGGGTTCAAGTGATTCTCTGCCTCAGCCCCTGAAGTAGCTGGGATTACAGGCCTGTGTCACATGCCCAGCTAATTTTTTTGGGTTTTTTTTAGTAGAGACGGGGTTTCTCCATGTTGGTCAGCCTGGCCTCCTGCAACCTGGCCTCAGGTGATCCACCAGCCTTGGCCTCCCAAAGTGCTGGATTACAGGTACAAGCCACCGCGCCAGGCCTCAGAATTTCTCTTTTTAAGGCATCCTCCGACCCCCAGGCGACACCCTCCCCTCCCTTCTTCACCGCAGCCCCTCCTCCTTCCAGGTCTGTTCTGCTCACACCCGGAGCTCTGGGAGGCCCCAGGCAGAGAAGCGGTGGTTGGGGTGGGGGGTCTAGGTCTTGCTCCAGGTCACATCTGGCTCCCAGAGCAGCCGTGTCAGGAAGGAAGGTTTTCCACCCCTCAGATCACGTGCTGTGAGATGATGGAATGAGGTCATAGGCTGCGTGCACGTTACATGAGCAATCGGACTCCTTATTCAAAACCGGAAATGGGCTGGGGAGTGTGAGGCCTCCCCGGCCAGGCTCAGAGCCTCCGCGCCGCACCAGCCCTCAGTGCGCCTGCACCCAAGACCATGGAGGTCGCCGGCCCCATGCTGCTGCTGCTGGCACTGCTGTGGGTGAAGCCCAGTGAGTCGGGGGCTGAGGGGGAGGTTGGGAAGGAGGCCTAAAGATAGTCGCGAGACCCTCTCGATGCCGGGGGCTCCAGAAGCCAGCAGGACCCTGCCCACAATTCTGAGCGGCCAAGGGTGCCTGAGCCCCCTGCCCCGTGTGCTGCCTGTGCTGGTAAGAGGGTAAGAGGGACTGGAACCCACCCTTCAGCCTCCAACCCTGACCTGTGCCCTCCCTGCCCCACCCCAGGCCAGGGTCTTGAGTGCTTCCAGTGTGTCAACGTCCTGGACCCCCGCCAGTGCCACCCCGTCCTCTGTCCCCTGCAGGCTGGAAGCTGCCCCTCTGCTGTAGCCACTGGCACTATCAATGGTGAGGCCCGGGGCAGGGGCAGGTGGGGGTGGGCAGGGTGCTTTCAGCCAGCCTTGAGGCCCCTGGTCTGGTGGAAGCTTGGGTCTGGGGACAGAGCTCAGGGACCTCCATCTGATGGAATGCAGACTTGGTGTGGCCCTGGGGCCGTGGCCTGTTCTCCTCTGGTTCTCTCCGTGTCCCCACTGGCTTCCAGGTTCCCTGAAGGAGGAGGTCCTTGGCAGGTCCCAGGTCGGTGGGGCCTCCTGTGCCAGACACCCTCCTCTCTCGCCCACAGGGCAGAAGTTCAGCTACATTACCAAGGGCTGTGGCGTTCCCTGTGCCCACGTTATGAAATTTGCCAGTCTTGAGGTCCCTGGAGAGTCTTACCCCATACAAACTGAGGATGGACGACAGATTAACATGAAGATTGAAAACATAAAAACGACCTGCTGTGAAGGAAACCTCTGTAACGAGGCTGCCCGAGTTTGGCCTGGCCTCTGGGGCCTGGCTGTCAGGGGGCTCCTGCTTAGCCTGGGCACCCTCCTCTGGGCCCTGCTGTGAGCCCAGCCCACCCTGGCACTGCCCCTGGTGGGTAAATTAGAGGAGGGCAGGGTGGTTGCCCAGCGCAGCCCTCAGCTCCCTGCCCTGATGCCTCTGCCTGACCACCCGGCAGCCCAGAGACCCCCCCCCACCCCAAAGCCCAGAGAACCCCTCACCCCAAAGCCCAGAGAACCCCTCACCCTGCAGCTTAGCTGCCTGCTGGCCCAAATAGAAAATGCACATGCTCAGTCCAAGGACTTTGTCCCGTTATCAATCTTCGGGGGTCCGGCCTGTGGCCTTCAAGGGTTCCCAGCAAATTCTCCAGGGTGGGGTTCAGAGATGGGAGGGCCTTCCCCAGGCAGCCCAGCCTGAGCTCATTTCCAGCCAGGATCAGGCTCAGCCCCAGCCCAAGGTCTAGGAGCAGCCTGGAGGGTCTGGAACTCGGGGCTGGGCCCCCCAGGAAGACGTGCTGGGGGTTGATGGAGGGAGTGGAGGGGTGGGGACACTGTGGGCCCAGGCCTGGCGTGGCTGCGGGGTTTCCACAACTATGGACAGTGTGTGAGAGGGTCCCGGGCCTACAGGCTGGCCACCTGTGTGAGGCACTGCAGAGTGGATGGTGTCAAAGGGGCAGACGCAGTGGACGGTGCAGGATCCTGCCTGGCCTCACGGCCCAAAGTCCCCACAGGGACTGAGTGGCTGCCCGCCCTCCAGAGGCTCATCCTCGGGCAGATGCCTGGAAGCGGTGGCTGGATGAAGCTGCGGAGAGGAGGGCACCCAGCTCTGGGGGCACATGGGAAATCCCCGGGGGGGAGGCTCAGATCCAGGACCCTGAGATGGGCCTCTCTCCCTCTCCCCACTCTCTCTCTCCTTCCTCTCCCTCCCCTCCCCTGCAGACCTCCCTACTGCACCTCTCCACCCAGTCTCCCTCCCCCAGGCTTCAGGAAATTGAAACTCAGCAAGCTGAGCTCCTCCCCCTCTGCCCCAGGCTCAAGGCACAAGGCAGGCTCCCACCTTCTGCTCAGTGAAACCACCTGTCCCTGGGCAGCAGGAAGCCTGCAGGACCATTCTCCCCACCACCCGAAGGCGATCAGGGCTGCCTCTGACCTCAGCCCTAAACTCAAAGCAGAGGGAATGCTGGGCCCAGTCCCAGATCCCGGGAGGCCCTCTGATCCTGTCTCCCCTTGAGAAAGGTGGGGATGCCCGCGCCCTGCTCTCAGTGTGGTTGTGAGACTTAGAAACCTGTGAGCTCCACTTTGGGAGGCCGAGGCGGGTGGATCACGAGGTCAAGAGATCGAGACCATCCTGGTCAACATGGTGAAACCCCGTCTCTACTAAAAATACAAAAATTCAGCTGGGCATGGTGGTGCGTGCCTGTAATCCCAGCTACTCAGGAGGCTGAGGCAGGAGAATTGCCTGAACCCAGGAGGCGGAGGTTGCGGTGAGCCAAGATCGCGCCATTGCACTCCAGCCTGGGTAACAAGAGCGAAACTCCGTCTCCAAAAAAAAAAAAAAAAAAAAAAAAAGAAACCTGTGAACTCACTGGGAAGTGGAAATGCCCAGAGATGGAAGCGCAAACTAGCTTTAGCAGAAACCAAGCATTTGTTGGAAATTCTGTCATTGCCCAGCGCCCACCACACTCCTGTGTCCCTGGGTCAGATCCAGGTTTCTGGCCATGGTTTTTCGGGGCAGCTTCCTCCTGCCAGCTCCACTGTGATGGGCTGGCTTCTTTCCCTCCAGCAAAGCCACCTGCGATTCTGAGCGGACCACGCCGTGAATGCACTGCACACTGGGACCTCTGTCCTCCGGGCTACAGTGCCCAGGGTGCCTGGACCTTCTGCTTTCCTGCTCTCTGCTTGCATTTCTCAGACCGACCCACTTGGGGAATCCAAACTCCCCACACAGAATCTCTGGCTCAGTCTCAGAGGCTGCTCTTCCCCAGGGAGGACTGCTCTGTGGCTGGCCCTCCTCCCGCTGAGCCCTTCCGGGCCCTCCCACTCGGTCACAGTGGGTGCCTCATGGCCCTCTTGGGTGGCAATAATGATTCATGTTTCAGACATGAATCATTACCTCAGGGATCCAGAAGGATGACACGGGTCCTTGACCTGCCTTGACCTCAGGACCCAGGAGGACATGGCTGTTCATATCAGCTGCCAGGGGCGGGAATCGTGAGCTCCCCCAGTGACGACCGGCCCCCACTTTGGGACAGTGACCCTGGGATCCTGACACACACCACAGCCTCCGGCCAGCTGGGGACAACCCGGGTCAGTGCTGAGTGGCTGAAGCCCTGGCCGCTCCCCACACTGGCCCAGAGAAATGAACAAACGCACTGCCATTTGGTGTCTGTTCATTTTCCCTCCCAGCCCCAGGAACCCCTGGGATGTGCACAGCACCCAACTGCAGATGTGCCTGGGGCCAGGCCGGCTTCCTCCGTCAGGAGCCACCGTGTCTGCCAGGGGGAAGCTGGCAGCGCTGCAGTCCCAGGCACGGCTTCTGCGTGGGGGCCCCTGCCCCTCCCACAGGGTACTCACTAAGCCCCGGCCCATCAGGTCCTGCCCCAGCCTGGCTTTTGTGCCCTCTGCACCAGTGGGTCCAGATAGACACCCTCCATTCCCAAGCCCCAGAGCCCTGGGTGCTGCCCCGGCCTGAGTGTGCTCCTTCCTGCACCCGCTTTCCCTTCTCCATGCCTCCAACCTCCTTCTGCTGCGGGAGGCTGAACTCACTTGACCTGCTGAGCCTGGCGCAGGAGTACGGGCAGAGCACAGGGGAGTGGCTTCCTCCAAGCCAAGCAAGCAGCTGGCTGTGGCTGAGGGGGCTCCTGCTTCTCCCCCACTGCCACCTGGGCTGTACCACAGAAGACACCAGGACCCTTGATAGTCTCTCCCCCTAAGGGCAGCCACACACAGAGCAGGAAGGGGGGACATCTGTATTTATTTGAGGCACCGAAGCAGCAGGACTCCAATGTGGGGCTGGGCTGGGGCAGGGCTGGCTGGATTTGGGGCAGAGGCCTAGAGACCTGGAAGCGGCGGAAACCCCACCCCCAAAAGGCTGCCCTTGAAGGGCATGGGACTGTGCCAGGGAAGGGGGTTATAGGGGACTGGGGCTCTGCAGGCTGCTGGCACCCCTCCCTCCCCAAACACAGGCCCCAGAAACTGCCACGTGCTCACACCTGCACAGCACACCCACGTACCCCAACGGGCACACATCCCTACTGGCACAGCCTCCCTGGGGGCCCTCTCAGTGTGTCCACGGGAGTTGGTCCTGACGCTGGACCCTAAGACTCCAGGGGACCCTCATCCCTTCCACGGTCCCCCAAGGAAGGTCACATCATTGACCCCAGAAGTGAGGGCATGTGGCCCCACCTGGGGCAGAGGCAGGGCTGGGGCAGGTGGAGGAGCAGGGGGTAGGCCTGACCTGGGACCAAGGGCGCGAATCAGGCACGTGAGGAGTCAGGGGCTCTCACACCCTTGTGGGATCCAGAGAGGGCTGGGCTTTCCTTCCTGAGCTAGGGGGCCGGGGACAGGGACTGGGCGGTCAGGGGCCGAAGCGCAGCAGGGCAGGCAACAGGCTCAGCAGCAGTCCGGCACCCAGCAGGGTGGCGCTGGCCCGCAGCCCGCCGTCAGCTGCGCTGAAATTGCACAGGAAACCCTGACAGCAGCGGATGCCCATGGAAGCTATGCCAGCATTGATGTTTCCTGGGAGGGGGCAGGCCGGGGAACAGGACTTGCTCAGGGTGTGGCCAAAAGTGACGATCTTTCCTGCAAGGGAAGAGAGGCTGTGAGGGGAGCCAGGCGGCTGCAGGCAGCAGCCATGGCCTCTGCAGGTGCGGTGGGGAGGAAGGCGCCGTCTAGGCCTGGCACTCACCGATGCCGGCAGACGCAGTCACCGTCAGGCAGTAGTTGTCCTGGTCGGAGCAGATGGTGGGCTTCAGGCAGTACAGATTGCTCTTCTGGTTTAGGCAGGTGAAGCACATCAGCGAGCCGGCTGTGGAAGGACACACCTGTCTCAGGGACACCTCCAGGGTCCCTCCAAGGCCTGACCCCAGTGGACATTTACTGAGAAATTACTGTATACCAGGCCCTGGGCTAGAGACAGAGCAAGGACAGTGACTCCCTTCCTGGCCCTGGAGCAGCTCCAGTGACACGCAAACCCACAGTGAGACAGTGTGGCCAGGCGGGTGAGCCCGCTGGGAGCAGCCTGGAAGGACCCCTGGGGCGTCTGCTCAGGGGAGAAGGGAGGAGAGGGAGCTGAGCAGGGCACAGCCGGACAAAGGTCTGGGGTCCCCAGGGCATCTCACCTTGCTCAACACCCAGAAGGGCAGCCAGCAGCACCAGCAAGGTCTTCATTCTGGAGAGGACGGCAGTCCTGCCTAGGGGTCCCAAGCCAGAGCAGCCCGTCCTGCTCTAGAGAGACACAGCTGGTCAGGGGCCAGAGAGGCCTCGCTCCTCACCAGGACCACGCACCCCTATGTTGTGGACGAGGACACAGACAGCAGAGAGGGGTGGGGACCTGCCAGCGCTCGGGCTTCCCTGCCAGCTCCTGACCCACCCCTCACTCAGTGCAGCCACATTCTAGGTTACACCCCTCCCCAAACCTGGTGGGAGGGGGCCACACAGGCAGGAGGAGGAAACTCAACAGCCTCCTTGGAATCACAGAAAAGGAGGCGCAGTGAGGGGCCTCTGCCAAGGGCTCTGGGTGATCAGTCATAATATTAGCTAGTCTGGGGCCGGGTGTCAGGTCTCCATGTGCAAGCCTGGAGCCTACGTCTGAAGTCCTGCTTGCCTCGGCTGAGTGCCCCCCACCTGCATTCACCATTGTTCCTAATCACCCAGTGGGAGTTTACCCAGCAGAGGTTTCCCGGAGCCCCTCACCCCACCCTGCCATGTTAACTGTACTATGATAATGTGAATACTCCTCACCCCACCCTGCCATGTTAACTGTCACTATGATAATGTGAATACTCCCCACCCCACCTGCCATCTTAACTACTCTTACCCCACCTGCCATTGTAACTGAACTTATGGTAATGTATACTTCCTGCCCCTACCCACCACCGTAACTGATCTTACTCTATAACTTTCCACTGCCCACCCCAAACCTACAAAACCAACTCATCCCACTGCCCTTGGCTAACGGCCTTTTCGGCCTTAGCCCACCTGCACCCAGGTGAATAAGCAGCCATGTTGCTCACACAAAGCCTGTTTCAGGGGGTCTCTTCATTCAAAGCACGGTTTTTCAACACTTGGGACAGTGCCTC